AAAACGGAAATCATCCAGAACCACAGGAAGGCTGGCTGAGTGGAAATTCTACAACTAGAAGGAAAGAGAAAAGCACACTGAGACTCAGAGGAGGTGTGGAAGTGCAGAGGTATGGAGGCGCATGCGGAAAGGGCTGGCGGCTGAGGATGCAGCTGTCTTTTTCAATCGGGAGGGAGTCTCAAGCTCCCGACTGCTCTGAACTCCAGTTCCGGGCGAGTCTCTGGGGACCCAGAGTCATATGGGGAGAAACTGGACTGTCTGGCAGCAGGCAGAACTCGGAACTCGAGGGCGGCTTTCTCTCAGAGGTGCTTGCAGCGATAACCAGGACACTGAGACACGGGGCCTCTTAGGGCAGGGCTGAGGATCAGCCATAGCTGTTTGCTCCGCCCTGTTGATTCCCTGAGATCCCGCCCCACCCAAGCTGTGTGCAGAAGCTTTTGCATATGAATGGCCTGGCCCTTTGCAATCTAAAATTACCTAACAAACTGCAGCTGGGCCAGACAGACCCAGAACTTCCAAAAGAAGGCCCAAGGCCCCACCGCAGCTTGCATTGCTTCACAGCTGGGCCTCATCTGGGCACCTCCAAACCCCAAACAAAGAAAAGGAATCTGCATATCTCTCCATAGCTCCTGCTGGGTAGCCTCAGGCAGAGGCTAAATTAGCATCTCCTTAGAGATCCAAGAGCCAGTGTCCCCAGTGGTCAGAGTGGGACCATCCAGATTACAACTCCTCAGGTCCATAAGGGACACACTCAGGGGGCAGACTCAGTGAGCTCCAAAGCCCCACTGAAGCAAGTCTTGCCCCATAACGGTGTCTCCAGCACAGAAGTTCTCCCACCGTAGACACAGCTGATTCTCACAGACAATTGGCCTAAAGGTCAATTCCTCCCAGTGTTACCTACAACAATCAAGGCTTAACTACAACAAGACTGTGCACAAAGCCCACAAAGGGGTGCACCAAGAGTGTCCACCTCACATAATTGGGGAGGCTGAGCCACTGGGCCCTATAGGACACCTAGCACACAAAGCCACTCTACCAACACAGGGAAGCAGCCAAAATGCAGAGACAAAGAAACAGGTCACAAATGACAGAAATGGAGGAAAGCAAACTACTGGATATAGAGTTCAAAACCACGGTTATAAGGTTTTTCAAAAATTTTCTAGAAACTGCTGATAAATTTATTGAGACCCTCAATAAATCTAGTGAGACCGTCAAGGATATGAAAAAGGACCAACTAGAAATTAAGCATACACTGACTAAAATAAAGAATATTATACAGAGCTCCAACAGCAGACTAGAGGATCACAAGAATCAAGTCAAAGATTTGAAATACAAAGAAGCAAAAAAACACCCAACTGGAAAAACAAAAAGAAAAAAGAATCCAAAAATATTAAGATAGTGTAAGGGGCCTCTGGGACAACTTCAAGCATACCAACATCAGAATTATAGGGGTGCCAGAAGAAGAGAGAGAGCAAGATATTGAAAACCTATTTGAAGAAATAATGACAGAAAACTTCCCCTACCTGGTGAAAGAAATAGACTTACAAGTCCAGGAAGCGCAGAGAACCCCAAACATAAGGAATCCAAAGAGGACCACACCAAGACACATCATAATTAAAATGCCAAGAGCAAAAGACAAGGAGAAAATCTTAAAAGCAGCAAGAGAAAAACAGTTAGTTACCTACAAGGGAGTACCCATAAGATTCTCTGCTGATTTCTCAACAGAAACTATGCAGTCCAGAAGGGAGTGGCAAGAAATATTCAAAGTGATGAATGCCAAGAACCTACAACCAAGACTACTTTACCCAGCAAAGCTATCATTCAGAACTGAAGGTCAGATAAAGAGCTTCACAGATAAGAAAAAGCTAAAGGAGTTCATCACCACCAAACCAGTATTATATGAAATGCTGAAAGGTATCCTTTAAGAAGAGGAGGAAGAAGAAAAAGGTAAAGATAAAAATTATGAACAACAAATACATATTTATCAACAAGTGAATCTAAAAATCAAGTGAATAAAAAATCTGATGGCCCTAACTGGTTTGGCTCAGTGGATAGAGCGTTGGCCTGCGGACTGAAAGGTCCCAGGTTCGATTCCGGTCAAGGGCATGTACCTTGGCTACGGGTACATCCCCAGTAGGAGATGTGCAGGAGGCAGCTGATTGATGTTTCTCTCTCATCGATGTTTTTGGTTCTCTATTCCTCTCCGTTCCTCTCTGTAAAACATCAATAAAATATACTTTTTAAAAAATCTGATGAACAGAATAAACTGGTGAATATAATAGAATCAGGGGCATAGAAAGGGAGTGGACTGACAATTCTGGGGCGGAAGGGGTGTGGGGGGTTTGGGAAGAGACTGGAAAAAAATAGTACACCTATGGATGAGGACAGTGGGGGGGCGGTAAGCAGAGGGTGGGGTGGGAACCGGGTGGAGGGGAGCTATGGGGGGAAAAAAGAGGAACAACTGTAATAATCTGAACAATAAAGATTTAATTAAAAAAAATAATAAAACACATTTAAAAATCCACTTCAAATTCTCTCTCTTTTTTTTTAAATATATATTTTATTGATTTCCCACAGAGAGGAAGGGAGAGGGATAGAGGGTTAGAAACATCCATGAGAGAGAAACATCGATCAGCTGCCTCTTGCACACCTCCTACTGGAGATGTGCCCACAACCCAGGTACATGCCCTTGACCGGAATCAAACCTGGGACCTTTCAGTCCTCAGGCCGACGCTCTATCCACTGAGCCAAACCGGTTTCGGCTCAAATTCTCTTTAAGAAACATCAGGGAACATTTATTAAGGGAATATATTTTTTGCGAACTTTTACACATCCATCAAAACCCTGCTCAGATGTCTCCACAGGGGTATCAGGAACTGGGATTGTTGAATGAAAGAATGAATTTTTTTCTTGGTAACCTTCTATGTATTCTTTAAAACATCCTCAAGTGATCCTTTGCAGACATCAGAAAATCTTGGTTGAGTGAATGAAAACTGTTCTTATGGGTAAATGATGCCTGCTAATGTGTTTGTTAAATAAATTGATAGGTTTTTCTCCTTGCAAATTCCTTCTCATCCTTCAACATCCCCCTTAGCTGTCCTCAGGGCCATGAGGGTTTCTTGACCACATGGAGGTAAGTAAGCTCAGCCCTCCTCAGAGTGAAGGTTACTCTCTAGGGCAGCGGTTCTCAGCCTGTGGGTCACGACCCCTTTGGGGGTCAAACGACCCTTTCACAGGGGTCGCCTAAGACCATCGGAAAACACATACATAATTACATATTGTTTTTGTGATTAATCACTATGCTTTAACTACGTTCCATTTGTAACAATGAAAATACATCCTGCATATCAGATATTTACATGACGATTCATCACAGTAGCAACATTACAGTTATGAAGTAGCAGTGAAAATAATGTTATGGTTGGGGGTCACCACAACATGAGGAACTGCATTAAAGGGTCGCGGCATTAGGAAGGTTGAGAACCACTGCTCTAGGGGAAAAAAACGGAAGCCAAGCGGTTAGGGAAGTTCTGTGGCTCCTCTGACAAGATTTCTGATTTCCGGAGGTGGGGAGATGCCTGTACCCTGCTCCTTCCTGACTTCCCCTCCCCTTAGCTTGTGGGGCATCTGAAAGTGGGGCAGCCCTGAGGGTATATCCCAGCCGTGCTTCTGGGGCACCTCGGAGGAACCAATAAAAGTTCTTCAGGGCTTCCTGGCAGGCAGCAGGCGGGCCAAGGGAGGTGGGGTGTGTGTGCAAAGACTTGAAGGTAGGCTGTGGTGAACCTCGGGGTAAACCTTACGCTGTGACCTCGATAAGAGTGGAAACATCACCTCACGTGTGGTTAGGGGCCTGCCCACCAACCCCCATGGCTCCCCAGTGCCCTTGGGAGAAAGCCAGCCCTTCAATCCGTGACTCCAGGCCCTGGCCCGCGTCACCACCGTCATCTGGCCCCCTATGTCCAGCTCTCTCCCCACTTACCTCTCTTTCTCTCTCAGTGTTTTTCCAGTAGCTGCTCTGGTGTTGGGGGGATGGGAAAGAGGTACAACAAAAGCAAAGCCAGTGGGGAGGGAAGGTCCCAAAACAAGCATCCTCTTTATCTTTCTTGCAACCCATTGTGCAGATGGAAAAGCTGAGTCCTGGAAAGGTCAACTTTGGTGGGGAGAGAAGTGTGGGGGCGGGGGTAGCCTGGGGCATGTGCCTTACTCTTAAAGGGGCAAAGCTCTGCCACACTGTTGGGCTCTGTCTTCCTATTTCTTCACTTCAGCCCAGGCTTTGAGCGGTCAGGGCACCTCTGGCCTCAGTTTCCCCATCTGTGAAATGGGGCACATGATGGCATTCCCCCGGCGGGGGGGGGGGGGGGGGAAGGGGCATGTCTCAGATTGTCAGGAGCGGGTCCATGTGTTTGCCTGTGTCTCCAACCATCTCTTCCATCTTTTTTTTATGTTTCTCTCAACCCCTGTCTCCTCCTCTGTATCTGCCCTTCCCCCAGGCCTCACACATCAGTCCTTGAAATCCACTCCGCCCCCGGGCCCCGGCGCTGCTGGTGACACTGTGTGGGGCCACAGGGTCCTCGTCCCTGCTGTGCCGGGCCTGGAACACTGCCTCTTTGTCCCCGGGGCTCTGACCTCATGGCCTGCTGGACGCCTGGCCCTGGCTGGCCCAGCTGGCCCTCGGGACTGAGATCCCCAGAAAAGGGGCCTCCTTTCTGCCCTCCTGGGCCTCAGTTTCCCCAGATGATCTCCCCCAGCAGAGACCCTCCCCCTGCTCCTCAATCCCACTGGGCTTCGTGAACATTTTTTTTTTTTAGCTGAAAATCACGTAACATGAATCAAACCATTTTAAAATGCGTCATTCGGTGGCATTTAGCACATTCACTGTGTTGTGCAACAGGCGCCTCTGTCTAGCTCCAGAACATTTCATCACCCCAAAGAATACCCCGTCCCCGGGAGCTTTTGGGGTGCTCCCTCCCCCAGCCCCTGACAACCACTCATCTTTCTGTCTGTGGATTTGCCTGTTCTGGTCATTTCATACCAATGGAATCACACATGTGGGCTTTCGTGTCTGGCTGCTGTCACTCAGTGCCGTGGTTTCGAGGTTCACCCATGTTGTAGCATGAATCTTCTCCACGGACATTTGGGGTCTTTGCTGACAGTGGGGAGAAAGGGTGGAACACTGAGACCCCCAGAGGCCCAGAAACAGACACAGAAGAAAGACTAATCTGAGCCTAGAAGAAGCGAGGAGACTCTTCGGAGTGGAGACCCCGGGTGCCCTGAGGCTGGAGTTTGGGAAATGGGAAGGTGAGCATTTTGGGGGGCTGCGTGTGTACAGCAAGCACCTCATAATTTGTTGGGAGAGCGACCTCAGATATCCAAGGACACTGGACTCCATTCAGCTCCTGAGTCCCAGAGGTTGTCCAGAGAGGGCAAGAGACCTGGCCAAGGACACAGAGCCCAGGCCACCCAGGGGACGAGCACTTGGGGTCCAGCCTGGGCCTGGGGCCAGCAGAACAGAACCCCAGACCAGGGACCCTGGGTCTGACTTGCCTCAAAAGTGGGTTGTGGCGGCAGGAGGCCAGGACTACCCTGAGCTGACTTCCTGGGTTTCTCTTTCATTTTGACTCGCCCGGGAGGGGCCATGACACTTACCTTTTTTTTTTTTTTTAACCTTTTTACTTTTCTTTCATGCTTGGCTTCAAAGTGTTCTGGGGTGAGGGCAGGGCAGTTGGGGTCTCACTGGCAGCGCAAAAGCTCTTCGGAGGCCACAGGCCCCTGCGTGGACCCGATGGGGTGGCCAGTGGCCAGGCTGGTCCCTCTCCTCCTCTTCTTGCTCCCCTGGCCATGTGGTGAGTTTCCACTCGGGCGCCCCTGCTTGTCCTGCTGGGGGGCGTGTGTGCCGAGGGCCACGGACCTGGGTTCCAGGGCTGGCTTTGCGTCTCTGTGCCTTTCTCTGTTACATGGGTGATCGGTGATCACGGCTTTTGGGGTCAGACTTGGGCATCTCCCCTTTCAGCCTTGATTCTGTCTTATGTAGAATGGGCTGGATGTTTGAGTCTTCCCCACCTCCCATAGTTCAATGAGAAATGGCCAAGGAAGGGGTAATGAGCAAGTATGTATATGATAGATATACCTAGCACGGGGTTATGTGGAATCGGTGGGGAGGGGCCCGGCCTCCTGTGGAAGACTGGGTTTGGACTCCTTTTTTTGTTTTGTTATATATTTTTATTGATTTCAGAGAGGAAGAGAGAAGGAGAGAAATAGAAACATCAGTGATGAGAGGGAATCATTGATCGGTTGCCTCCTGCACGCCCCACACTGGGGATCGAGCCCACCAGGCATGTGCCCTGACCAGGAATCAAACTGTGATCTCCTGGTTCACAGGTCAATGCTCAATCACCAAGCCACGCCAGCCAGGCTGGGTTTGCTCTGCTATTCCAGCTGTGTGACCTTGGGCAACATTTTGCCTCTCTGTGCCTCAGTTTCCCCCTCTGTACACTGGCGATTAGCAAGGTTTCAGGGCTTCTGGGTGTCAGACAGGGCTGAAGATCAGGGGATGCTGGATTGCTTTGGAGGAGCAGCCTGAGAGATTGAGGGGTGGATGGGTGGGCAGGGAGATGGATGGATGGATGGATGGATGGATGGATGGGTGGATGGATGGTTGGGTGGAGAGATGGATGGATGGATGCATGTATGGATGGGTGGATAGAGGAATAGATGGATGGGTGGACGAATGGGTGGGTGGGTGCATAGATGGAAAAGCGGGTAAGGGGGTGGATGGCCACTTGGCCACCCCCGGGCTGAGCCCCGCTCCCCAGGCAGTGAGTAGCTGGAACGGTCATTATCTCTTCATTGTCTTTACAGCTGAAGCCTGCAATACCAGCAGGTGCAGTTTTCAGGACCCGCCGTATCAGAACGCAGACTCAGGTTGGGACAGTTTCCCATCAAGGTCGTGCTGGGCTCTGACGGACAGATCCCTCACAGCCCTTCCCTCGGCTCCCCTTGCCCAGCCAGAGCCTCGGCCCACCCGGGGCCGCGGGAGCTCCTGTCTGCAGCCTGCCAGCTTGTCCTCACCAAGCTTCGGTGTCCTGGAGCAGCCACCCTCTCTGGGCCCCGTCTCCTCCCTGGCAGGGTGGCAGGGCTGGTGTCTGCCTCGGTTCAGATGGGTCAGCATGTGGGGCAGAGTATCTGTTAAATATTTTGAATTTTTAATCCCCTCCCCGGCAGGCACTGCTGGAATATTTAGCCTGGCAACGCACCCCCACTAAGGCTCTGCCACCCAATCTTTTGTTCGAGAGATATTTATGGAGCACACACTATGTGCTCACACAGTCCTAGACATGAAGGAACCAGCTGCTAGCCCAGTCGCCCTCCTAGGGTCACAGCCTCATGCGGGAGGTAGACAGCAGGTCCACAAATGCATGTGCTGCCTGCAATGACATGCACAGACCTGGCTGAGGGGTTGGAGGGGGATGGGGCTGCTTCCAGTTGGCTGGTTGCGGGGTAGGTGACACTGAAGGAAAACCTGGAATGTCAAGATCCGGGGGAAGGCACAGCATGTGCAAAGGCCCTGTGGTGGGAGTGAGCCTGGTGTGCCTGAGGGCCCATGAGGAGGCTGGTGTGGCTGGAGCAGGGGGAGCAGGGGAGATGGCAACAGACAGGAGTGAAAGCACAGGAGGGTGCTGGGAGCTCGCTGTTCAGACTGTGGAGGCACCGGATTTCATAAATGTCACCAGGACTCATCTTGAGACTCCTCCCCTACTCTGGTCTGTTCTCAACCCTCCAGGATTTCCTCCAGGCTCAGCCACAGGCCCCAGAGCCCTGAGCTGCTACCGGATGTTTGGCGCCTGTTACGAATGTGCCTGGGAATATGAGGGTCCCGCGGCTGGAGTCAAGCACTTCCTGAGGGGCTGGTGAGGACCCCTTCCCAGGCCCCAAGCCCTCAGCCACATCCTGCTCCGGCTCCTGACCGATGCTCCTGCCCTCAGATGTGTGACCACAGCCCAGGGCTGGTGCCTCCTCCTGGGCCTCAGTTTCTCTTGTGAGCAGGGAGGGTGGGGAGCTCTGTGTTGTGAGGGGTCAGCCTGGGTGGGCAGCCAAATTGGACAGCAATCAGTGTCTCTCTAGTCCTTCTTTCATCCTCACCCTCTCACTCATCTGTTGGTTCATCGGTCCATTCACCCATCAATTCATTTCCTCCTTCTCTTTGTGAAAGCTCGTGTTGGAGCCCTGGGGTCCCACAAGCCCCTCGATCCCAGGCTGATCTCCGAGGAGCCCCAGGCTTGGGAGGGGGAGTCAGAGGGGAAGAGAAGGAGGCAGGGGTGTGACGCACGCTGCCTGCTGGGCTGAGACGCCAGCTCAGCACCAACACCCTCCTCCCCGCAGCCTCAGGCCCGGCCACTGCTGCTACTTCCCTGCGGTCTCGGGCACCAAGCTGCAGTTCTCCGAACAGGACGGTGTACCTGTGCTCGACAACGTCACTCTCTGGGTGGAGTCCTGGGCCGCCAACCGGATAGAGAAGTCGCCCGAGGTCACCTTGATCCTATACCGCTCTGGTCAGCACCCGTTCTCCTCCTCCTCTTCCTGCCGCCCTTTCCTCACACAGAGATGCCTCTGGTCCCCAAGCCTAGACCGGGGGAGGGGGGGTGGTGTTCTGGGACCCTGGGAAAGGGCTTGAAAATCCCAGCCACTTACACATCTAACACTGTTGTGTGTCTTGGCAGAGCCTGTCATGGCTCCCTGACCCTGACCCTGAGCCTGACCCTGACCCTAACCCTGACCCTGACCCTGACCCTGAGCCTGACCCTGACCCTGACCCTGGCCCTGGCCCTGGCCCTGACCCTGACCCTGACCCTGACCCTAACCTTGCGAGATAGATAGAAACATCAATGATGAGGGAGAATCATTGATTGATCCGGATCAAGTCCACAACCCAGTCATGTGCCGTTGACTGGAATTGAACCTGGGACCCTTCAGTCCACAGGCTGATGCTCTATCCACTGAGCCACGCCAGCCGGGCAACAACATGCATTTAGCATATAGTTGTGGAGCTGCCCCTGTGTACCACCCTGAGCCACAGGGGCCATAGGCAAGGCCGACAGAAGCCGCAGCCTGGGGCTGGGACTAGGAGGCCAGCAAGGGCGCCACCTTGAGTACAAAACTTTAAGTGGGTGGCAAAACCCTCGGTGGCTAATAGAAACAATGCTGTAACGCAGTATTTTTAAAAATCAAAATTAATGTAAAAACCCATGACGAACAAAATATCAAAATTTTAGATAAAGACAGGATCCAACCCTGTATTTGTACAACCTTGCCCCTTGTACAACCTTCATGGAGCCCAGATTCAAGTGGGGGTGATGGATGAGGTGTGATCAACACACATGGTGAGATACTGCTGGGAGGTCAAGGTGTTGCCTCCGGCTCAAGCTGAGTCCTGAAGGATAAGTGAATCCAGGAGGAAGAAAGGTTGGAAGTGTGTTCCAGGTGGAGACGTGTGCCACAGCAAGTGCAAAGGCCCTGGGGTAGAATCGGGCATGACAAGATGCTGGATGTCTCTCCTTAGGTCAGGCTCCTTGAAGTGGGCCTAAAAAAATTAGTAAGATTCCCTAATAGTCCTCCAGAAAACAGAATCAATTAATTACCCTCTTGTCAGCAATGGGTATTAATATTTTAAAGATTTTTTTCACTAACAGGATGCTGTGTATAAATATTGACTCCTTGACTCATAGAATTCTAGGCTTAGGCTGCAAGGGTGATTCATGTTTGGGGGACTTGGCTGGCTACCCTGGGCTGGGCGGGGTGTGGGCAGATTTTCTGGAATTTTGGGGACCAAGGGCTCCCACCAATGTCGGCTTCCCCTCCCCATCCTCTGCCTCGGCTTCCAGTTAAATACGACCCGCCACCAGAAGACATCCAAGTGTCACGCTTAGCAGGGCAGCTGCACTTGCAGTGGGAGACCCCCGCCCGCCAGGATGGCGCTGAGGTGCAGTTCAGGCGCCGGACGCCTGGCAGTGCGTGGAAGTTGGTGAGTTTGCTTCCCGGGTCAGGGGTGGGCACAGGCCTCTTCCAGGGCACGTTCTCCCTTAAATCAGTGTCATCATCTCAATATCCGTTACCCCTCCCAGCAGGTCCCACACTCGCCCCATGTCTAGCCTCTGAGGTTTTTCGGGGGAGCAGCTCTGAGGGTGACCGCCCTGTTCACCCCCGCCCCCTCGTGGCCCCCTAATGCCTCCGGGAGGCATCCTTGTCCCCGGCAGCCCTAGGGGCCCTCACCTGCCTCCGGCCTCCTCTGGCGCCCTCCCCCAAGGCCATCATTCCCTACTTACCCCTGGGTTTCCAGCCTCCTTGCCTTTGCTCGTGGACTTTCCTCCACTTGCTCGACGCCCTCTCCACATGAGCACGTGAATCCAGCCCCAGGGCCACCTCTTCCAGGAACCGCCCTTCCACACATTCCTTCTTCTCTCTCGCCCTCTCTTCCTTCTTTTTAAAAAATTGAGATATGCCTTGGCAGGTGTGGCTCAGTTGTTAGAATGCCATCCGTGCATCCAAGGGTTGCAGGTTCAATTTTCGGTCAGGGCACATACCCAGGTTGCAGGTTGGATCCCCGTTCAGGGAATATGTGTGACGTTTCTCTCTCACAATATTTCTCTCTCTCTCTCTCTCTCTCTCTCTCTCTCTCTCTCTCTCTCTCTCCCCAATGAGAATTAAAAGAGAGAGAGAGAGCCCTAGCTGGTTTGGCTCGGTGGATGGAGCGTCAGCCTGCGGACTGAGGGGTCCTAGGTTCGATTCCTGTCAAGGGCACATGCTGGGTTGCAGGCTCGATCCCCAGCGGGGGTCGTGCAGGAGGCATCTGATCAATGATTCTCTCTTATCATTGATGTTTCTATCTCTCCCTCTTCCTTCCTCTCTGAAATCAATAAAAAAAATATAAAAATAAATAAATAAAAGAGAGAGAGATGATTGAATATAACATTATATTAGTTTCAGGTGTATAACATAACGATTCAATATTTGTACATATTGCAACACAACCACCACAATAAATCTAGTTAACTTTTGATATGATGCATAGTTATAGATTTTCTTTTTCTTGTGATGAGAACTTTTAAGGTTTACTCTCCTAGCAACTTCCAAACATGCAATACAGTATTACCGGCTACAGTCCCCAAGCTGTACATTACATCTCCACGACGACTGATCTTGCAACTGGAAGTTTGTATCTTTTGACCATCTTCAACCATTGCTCCTACGCCCCGCCCCCGATTCTCTGGCAACCACTTATCTGTTCTCTGCATCTGTGAATTTGGTTTTCTATTTTGTGTTTTTTAGGTTCCACATATAAGTGAGATCACATGGTTTTGTCTTTCTCTGTCTAATTTACCTCACTTAGTACAATGCCCCAAGTTTTGTCACAAATGGCAAGGTTTCCTTATCTTTTATGGCTGATTAATACCCCATCGTAGGTACCTATATCACTTTACTCATTCATCGATGGGTAGACGTCTCGCTGTTCCCATGTCTTGGTTATTGTAAATGATGCTGCAGTGAACACAGAGGTGCATGTCTTTTCGAGTTGGTGTTTTTGCTTCCTTCCGATGAACACCCAGAAGTGGAATTGCTGGGTCGTCTGGTAGTCCTGTTTTTAATTCTTTGATGGACGTCCACACTATTTTCCATAGCGGCCGCATCAATTCACAAGCCCATCAGCAGTGCACAGGGTCACTGGTCTCCACATTCCCGCCAGCATGTCTCATCTCTCCTCTCGTAACCGTTTTAACAGGTGTGATGTGCAAGGTGGCTGTGCTTTGCGTTTCCCTGATGGTTAGTGGTGCTGAGCATATGTTCATGCGCCTGCTGGCCATCTGTGTGTCTGCTCTGGGCCTTCATTCACTCTTCAGCTTCTGTCTGTTCCCTGCTCTGTAGCCCCACTGCCCAAGCCAGACAAGCCTGCCCTGCAGAAACCTCAGCCCAGACCCAGTCCCCAAGGAGCCCCAAGTTTGAGGGAGGCAGAGACCCCCCCCCAGCCTCTGAATTGTGGCCAGTCTCCTCCCCCCTCAGCCTGGGAGCATCCCGAGGGCAGGGGGTGGCCTCATCTTCACCCCCATCTTCCTCCCTCCTGAGCCTCAGTTTCCCCATCAGATGTCTAGGTCCGGATCCATCAGCAGCAGGTGACATGGGACCCTGATGGGGAGGGACCTCTCTCTGTGTTTTATCTCCAGCCCCCTAAGCACACTCGGCAGTGGGCCCTCTCAGACCCCTTTGTGGGTGAGGAAACTGAGGCTCGGGCGGCGGGAACTTCTCAGGGTCCCCAGGGAGTGGGGGGGGGGGCAGGCTCTTCTGATCCCCCACACAGCAGACAGGTAGGTTTCGCCTCCTAAAATATATATTTTTAGGAAATCATAAAATAAAGTTTGTCTCCTAAAATAAGTCTTTTAGAAATGTTTAAAATTGGAATCATCTTAGATTTTCAGAAAAGTTAAAAATAAATACAAAGGGCTCCCATAGAACCTTTGCCCAGCTTCCCTCCTTACATCCCTGACGGCGATGCACAGGGCACATTACTAGGGACCAAACTCCAGAGGTTACTGCATGCTACTCAGTTCCCCAAGAACGTCTTCTTTTTGCTCTTGGATCCATCCCAGGGTTTCGTATCGCACTTAGTAAAATCATATTTTTAAGGAGGATGTTAATAATAAATGAATATTTTTACTAATAATATTAGAGCTAATATTTTTCAGCATCAAAACGTAAAACAATATATGACTATGGTCTTGTCCTAGGGTGACTGTGGACATCAGGATGATGCTGGCTTTGGTGAGAATAAGAATAGTAACAGCAACAGCTGCAGCAAATTATCATGAATCAAGCACCTACTGTGTGCCAGACAAGTGCTAAATTCTTTGTATACCTGTTGGTCTGCCCTGTGGTTCTGTATTGGATTGGTCCCATTTTACAGGTGAGAAAACAAAGGCGGGGAATGTGTGTGAGAAGCCATAGGCCAAAGTCACATTACAAGGGGTGGCCTTGCTGGGACTCGAACCAGGGACAGAGAAAGAAGTAGATGATCCTTGAGGCCCCAGGAGGACAGGCCATGGCCTGATCCTGCCATATCCTCAGGGCCTGGCACACAGTTGGCTCTTAGAAAGTGCATGTATACAATTGGCACCCAATAAGTGCATGCACACAGTTGGCACTCAATAAGTGCACAATGGCTAAGTGACCAGTGCCATGCCCACTGCACCCCCAAATGTGGGACAGCCCCTTGGTCTGATGTTGGATCTCTTTCCCCCAGAATCCTGCCTCGGCCCGCTGGAGAGGAACGAGGCCCAGGAATTCCAGCTGAGGCGCCGGCAGCTGGGGCCCGG